TCTACAATTCTTGTATTTTGCAGAGTTCAATAGCAAATAAATACTGTATCAATCTTGATATATAGAGTTGACAATCATAATGTGTCCTACTAGGGAAGATTATAAAGAGAAATTTGTAAATAGTTGTTTTTATCAATAAAAAGTACTTGACAAAATATTTCAATTTTATTGTTTATACTGTTCTCATAATAAAAGAAATGTCTACAAGAAATGATACATTTTTCTTTCACATTTTAGGAATGGCGTTTATCATTACAGAATATACTTTACAACCAAGACAAATTGTATATTCAATATTAAGTCTAACTTAATTACTGTGTTGTTTTAATTGTTTGATTTCCTCGTTAATTTTATCTGGTGAGCACAATTTTGTGGCTTTGTTTATACATACATCAACTTTTATATTTCCCAGATTTGTATTTTTCTTCCCAATAGTTTTAACTATTTTGTTTGATGCTATTTACCAAATTTACAAATTATTAAAGTCATATTTTTATAGTAAATATTTTATTTCATTTTTTACACTTTTTTTATTTATGTCTTAACTCTTATTGTCGTCATAAATATGTTGCTAGTTTTGTTAGGATCTGTCTAGAAGATGAAAAATACGACAGATATTCCTCATTCAAAGATAATGGTTCTGTATAATCACTTGATTTATAATTAAAGGTCTTTTTCAGGACCATCAAATTATGATAGTGAAAATGTCATGAATGTACATTTAGTGTTTTGTATCGTTACGTACAGTGAAAGAATAGATAAATTCGTTTTTACAGATTATTAAGTTCAGTGACATACAAAATCCATTCTCCAGTAATTAAGTTAGACTTAATATTGAATTCCTCAACGTCAATAAATTTCCTTCAAAACCGTCGAAAAAAATCATACACACATATCTAGGCCAACAATACAATCAACAGCAAATAAACACTAAATTCAATGAAACAACTAACTATAAACCCCGCACTGTTGCATACCGTATTTTCCCGATATTAGCGATAATATAATCAACATTTGGAAAAAACTTACAACAAAACATAACATTCCAATAAACACTAAATTCATTCAAAAACCGGGCACAAAACTAAAATCTATACTATGTAAAAACTACACTAACAAACATAACACCAATATTATTTATAAAATACAATGCAACAACTGCCACAAGTTCTTTATCGGAGAAATAAGACGAAAAATGGAAACCAGATTCAATGCACACAGCAAAACACCTTCCCACGTTTCTGAACACTGGAAAACAAATAAACACAACATAAGTATAGAAAACACCAACATATTATGTAAAGAGAAACAAAGATAAACAAACGAAAAATCAAAGAAGTCCTACTTATACAAGAACTCAAACCAAAATTGAACCTTAAAGTAACACCTTTATATCTATATTAATCGCTTACCATCTAACTGCTACGCCCCCTACAATCTCGTACCTAAGACATGCGGCCAGTAACGGTCTTTGTTAACCTGAAGATGATCTAAGAAGGTCGAAAGGTGTTCTTATACTTTATCTTAATTAAAGTTTTTAATACCCACACCAGCCGTCTCTGATATACGTTTTTGCTTCAAGTGGGTTTCTCGTCATCATTAATGACCATGAACTCGTTGTCCAAGTAGCCAACCACTCTTCACATCACGCGTTGTCTATATGTCATGAGACTGGCATTTTTTTGTTTTTGGAGATGCATTGAACCAAAGACCTCGGTGACAAAATTAAGCTGAGTAAAAACATAGCTTTAATACGTTTATTGGTGTATCAAGCGGAGCTAAAAAGCACACATGTTTTAGATATTAGATATAAAGCACGTTTTTTTAAGACAGTTGTTCCAATTTGATGTTTCAGAATATTTAACGGTGGTTGGTATAGCAATAATAGTTTGGTATTACATTGTTGTTTAACTTTTTGGTGATAGCATGAAGGAAAACATTGAACTCACATATTTAAACTGAATATAGTGCATGTGTTTGTTTGTTGTTAAACACAAAGCTACACAATGAGCTACCTGTGGTCTGCCCATCGTGAGTATCGAAACTTGAGATTTAGCGCTATAAGCCTTCAGACTTACCACTGAGTCACCATGCAGCAGAGACCGCGATGAGGGGAGAGGGGGTCCCAAGGGCTCAGAACGAAAGCTAGACAATATAAGAAATAATATTTATATCAGGGTTTCTCAACCGGTGTTTTAGTATCACTTAGGAAGGGGCACCCTTTATAAGTTTTTGCGAGAGGGCCCCAAAACTTATAAAGGGTGCCTTAAGTCATCAGAGAGGAGGGATATGGTGTATGTTAAATAGACCATTTTCCAAAAAAGAAGGACATTTTTTTCACTGATATAGGGCGGTATGTTGTTTAGAAAGTTTTGTTTTATTAATAGAATATAATAATCGTAGAGAACTCGATAATTTAAGAAGGACGAACAAGAACACTAAGTGGTACCATCAGGAAAGGGTTAAACGCTAGAAGTTTTAACTGTTGGAAAGGATTAAAAGTTAGTAGTTTTGTCTATTTGGGTTGTTTAGGAAGAAGGAGAAGAACAATTAACATTTAACCCTTTACATATGGTACCACTTAGAGTTTAGTTGTTTGGGTTGTTTAGGAAGAAGGAGAGGAACACTAAGTGGTACCCATCAGGAAAAGGTTAAAAGTCAAAAGTTGTAGCTGTTTGGGAAGAAGGGGATGAACACTAAGTGGTACCTTCTGTAACAGATTAAATGTCAGAAGTTGTAGCTGTTTGAAGTGTTTAGGAAGAATGAAGAACACTTATATAGGCTTAAAATGAGAAATCTTGAGGATTGTATTGAGAGAACAAAAGGAGTATTGAATAATGCTACATTTGGTTTAATTTCAGAGAGCTGTTTACAAAGGGGACAATAAACACGCTGAAAGCCGATCTACTGGGACAGAGAGTTTACGAAATGAATTAAAATAATATGGAAAAGGGTTCACTGTTGTTTTTTTAAACAATGATATCTTTAGTCTGATAAAAGGTAGTACATTTAAAATTTTGGGTTATTTAAAAAGAATGGAGTGTAACATTGAATAGCACCCTCTGCATTTTGATCGAGAAATTTGTTGGCATTAATAAAATAAATGTATTGCAACATAGCAATATTTAATGAAATAATATAAAAGAAGACGATGTTACTAAATTGTTGGCCCGGCATGGCCAGATGATTAAGGAGCTCGACTCGCAGTCTGCGGGTCGCGGGTTCGAATCCCAGTCCCACCAAACATGCTCGCCCTTTCAGCCGTGGGGGCGTTATAATGTGACGGTCAATCGTTGGTAAAAGAGTAGCCCAAGAGTTGGTGGTGATGACTAGCTGCCTTCCCTCTAGTCTTACACTGCTAAATTAAGGACCGCTAGTGCAGATAGCCCTCGTGTAGCTTTGCGCGAAATTCAAAACAAACAAACCAAATTGTTTTTGAAAAACGTAATTTCTATATCACGTTAGTTAAATTAAATGTGCTTTTCACGCTAAAATTAGGTATCAAAATATACTATGATCTAAGCTAAGGAGATGAGAAACTCGTGAGTTAAATTCAGACAGAAATATAACACAATTTGATTTTTATTTGATTGTTTATATGCTAGAGAACGCTAATCTAAGTGTAGTAATGGTACTGTTTAACGCAGGACTAATAAAACAGTTATTTATTACCTACTTTCAAATATACTGAAAACTTTTTTTTCAAACTTTGGTGCACATCATCACTGCTTTAGGCCTACATCGGATGATAGTTTTTTGTTTTTAATAGAGCGATAACAGTTATTATACGTACGTTTTCTATGCTGCTTAAAGAGGAATTTTTTCCACTTACTCTGGTCTCAAATTGATTTGAAAATTTATATTTACATACTGTTATTGCAACTATAAAAACCGAAAAAAAGAATTATTATCAATAACTAATTGAAAACTTTTCCTATAGCTTACCATTGAACCGGGTCACTTAAAGCCGCAGTTCTTAGCTGCTCAAGACACGACTTATAACGTTAAAACTGAGGTAAGTACACCACAAATAGCCCATTATGCAGCTTTACGGTTAAACAAACAAATATTTACAAGATAAACATGTAAATAATTTCAGAATATACCAGATTAGATTTACGATGGTCATTTCTTCTTCAAAGAACATTTAAAGTAATTAGTGAATAGATGTGTTATTGGAAACATTTCTGTTACTTGTAATGTTGTGTTGATTTAAGGTTTGAAAGAACTGCAATAAACTATACGTCTGTACCTATGCAAACTGTGTTTCATTTTACCTGAGTAAATTAAACGAAGAGGTTTGATGATGGATGATATTATTTAAATGCATCTTCCATTGAAGCTGAATGATACTGTTTGGGATAGTTGTTAGAACAGTACACGCCAATTTCGCACAAGTAACCGCGAAGTTCGTTGTTATTTTGTTTTGCGGTGTATAGTTTAATTAATCATCCATATTTTGAAATGACAAGCACGAACTGAATGTGAATTCATAGTTAAGTTGTACTTGTCGTGATTATTACTACTTCTGCATTTCTGGTTGTGAAAAACATCAGAAGTTTGCGAATTAATATATACAGAGAGACAGTTTACTGTGGCTGAGCGTGACCTGTTGTTTATCGTGGTTGACTATGAGTTCAAGGGTTCGTGGTTCGCGGCTCATTGCTGCGGAAACGCATTCTGCACTTTGAAGCTGTGGGTGCACTATAAGAGTGACAATCAAATTTCATTATTCGGTCAGACAAGAGTAGCTCAGGAGCTGGCAGTGGGTGTTGTTTACTAGCTGCCATTTCATCTAACCCATCAGTTTTTATTGGCATGCCTACGAAAGCATCACTAAAAGTTATGTGTACATATTACAGATAGAACGAGTTTGTGTGTGATTGTTGCTTCGAGCTTCTTCTGCTTTCCGTGTGGTGACGGTAGTGTTTCCAAAATCAATATAAATGGCAGGATGGAAAAGCTGCTGCTTCTTAAGGTGATTCCGTTAGTTCTTGTGCGAAACCATTGGTTGGACGTTCGTGTTGTAAGTCACTGCCTAGTTAACTTAAAGAGGTTTCATTGTTGTTTTTTTTTTTTTCTGCTACTCATTTTGTAACCTAGAAGGTTTATGAACTGAACTATAGCCAAGCACTAAGAGAGCGATAGACAATATACATGCTATTTTGTATGTATAGAATTTAACAAAATGTTGTCAGTTTTAATCAAAATGCAACAATTTAAGTAATGGCATATCCGTCGGATACTAGCCTAAACTACGTGACCCAAACCGTGAACCCAACACGGCCAGTAATAATGGGTCCGGCTGCTAACCCAAGTCAGTCGGACGTGGAAGTTATGCGGCAGTACATTGAGTCTCTACCACAGGACTTGAGTTATCGTGAGGAACTGATGAGTACTCAGTTATGGAAGTCAGTGAAAGGTGAGCTTCTGGGGACATTACTGTTGACTGTGGTGGGCTGTGGGGCTAGTCTATCTTTCCAGCCAGGCTCGGCTGCTTCGCATGCTGTCACGCTTCAAGTGTCTCTGGCATTCGGACTGGTCATCGCTTCACTTGTCCAGTGGACAGGGCCTGTCAGCGGAGCTCATATGAACCCTTCGGTATCTTTAGCCTTACTAGTGACCCGCCACATCAGCATGTTGCGTGCAGGTCTTTACATAGTGGCCCAGTGTGTTGGAGCTCTAGTTGGAGCCGCTGTATTGTACGGTCTCACACCGTCAGAGCAACGGGGTTTAGTAAGCCTTGGAGCGTGCGAGCCATCTGAACATCTCCACCCAAGTCAAGCCTTCGGGTTAGAGTTTCTTGGGACCCTAGTAGTCATATTGACCATCTTGTCTAACGCTGACCCAGCCAGAACAAACTCCGGATCCAAGGCATTGTCCGTAGGATTATCTTACACCGCTGCCCATTTGTTGGCAGTAAGTATATAATTTCTTCTTTTTTTTCTGAAGACATAGCACGTGCTATAAAGTGGTATTTTTTTTAGGGATATACTTTAATGAGGAACTGAAAGAACTTCCTTTCTACTGAGAGCAAATGAAATAATAGCTAAAAATAAATATTTTCACTTAGGGTTACAAAAAATTGAATTTTTGGACATGTGAAAAGAGTAGACATTGTTTTGTAGTATTTTGGAGAAATGACGAAAACAAGATATACTTATTTTTACTATATATAATTTTTACGATACATATGGGAATGTGGGGTAAGACAGCTACCACCTTAACTCTGAATGCAGTTTTCACCAGTTAAGATGGATGTTATGAAAAAACAAAGTATTTTTGAAATGAACGCTGTTTTATTATAAATGCCATTTCTAGTTAAAATAAAGACTGGACCTAGATCTTTTTAGAAATTGAGGATTATATTGCGTTTTAGCTTTTTTACATGGGTTTAGGACTAACCTAAGTATCTTAATCTGGCTGAACTTTGCGAGGTATTATTAGGATTACGGCCGAAATGATCGCTAACCACGAGGGTACTCAACTGATGAATCAATGCATTCTGATCACTGTAACTAAGAACGGTATATTAGATTACTTGTAATATGTACTGGATTAATTTCTAGCTTTGATTTGTAATTTGCTTTGAGGAAACGTTAAGGATAAATGTAATATCATTTTAAATATTACTCGAAGACATACAAGCACCTGACAAATCATGCTTTAAGTAAGTTTAAAATAGGTCAGAGAGATTAAAGTAAGTGAATTTTTTGAAGTGGTCTGTGAAATCTGGATTAGAGAATGATGGTAAAGTAATTTTTTGAGCTAACTGGTGAGAAAAAATTAAGAGCGCTTCCGAAGATTAGGAGTAACGAGGTAAGTTAATTCGTAAACGGATCAACGATAACCAAGTAAGTGAATTTCTGAAGTTTAATTCTGAAACGGTTATGTTTGGTTT